GGTGTTGGCGGAGCGGAGGGTTTGCCCCGGTGTTGCGAACGGGCTGGTTTGGTTGGTGTGTCGTATAGTCTGTCCGGGTGTTTATAAACAGAGTTTTAAGAAGTGTAGGGGAAAAGTGCCGAGGTTGGTTTAGGGGAGCTGGGAAGCCCCCGGAGCGATGCGGATGGGGGAGATGGTGGCGGGGCTTGAGACCGCTCTGCTGTCAAACCGTGCTCGGAGGGTCCGGGAACGAGCGGGATTGAAAGAAGTTCGCTCCCCGCTATGGCAGCGGTTCTGTAACGCTGCACGGGGTGGCAGATTCCTCCCCCCGAAGGTCTGGTATAGCCATAGTCATGGGGATTAAGAGCTGCGGTATACCGAGGCTTTGGTTTCATTCGGTTCCTTTAAGAGGGGGGAGGAAAAAAAAAAAAAAAGTTTAGGTGCCATCTGATGCCTTGGGAGGTTTTCCCGTGTTCTTGTGTGGTGTCACAAGGTGGCAGATTTTGAGATCTGAGCGTGTGGGTCTTCTCAAGCCAGGAGTTAGTCCCCTACCCGCAGCTGTGCTCAAGCGCTGCATGTAGGAGGGATACCATACGCCTTCCCCCTTCACGGGAGATGTTCTGTACCTGTGTAGCTTCTCCCGAGTGCTGCGGGGCAGGATATCCAGAGAATGGCAATCGTGTTGTTTGGAGGAGTTTGTTCTCTAAGGCGTAATCTTGTATTCTGGGGACACCGGGCTGCTCCCCGACCGCTGTTGAGCGTTTGACAGCAGCTTGCCTGCTTCCTATCCCAGTGTGGGCCAAAAGAGCTGACGCTTGTGCTGGTAGTAGTGCGGAGCGGCGGTCTCTTCCTGATCTGAGACCTGCAGCTCATGTTGTGTTACAGAACAGCTGGTAAAGTCATTTAGCCTAGGTCATGGCTAAAGTTAGAATAGGAGCCTTAAAAGTTGAGGTGGGCTCATCCACTGTGTTCACTTAGCCCAGCACAGGGGTATGGAATCGCCCTCAAAATGAGCAAAGAAATGAGGGGTGTAGACATCTCGTGTCTGTGTGCTCTGCTTCACTATTTCCCTCTGACTTCAAAGGAGGAAGAGGAGGAAGACAGCAGTCCTGGAGTGTCCTTCTCACTCTCTTCAGAAGAGTCGGAGATGGAGCCCGAGGAAGAAAGGATCCGTTACAGCCAAAGACTGGTCAGTACTGGCCCTAAACAACGAAATTCTGTTCTTGGTTCTGTTGTAACTGAAGAAGGAAAAGGCTTTTACTGTCAACAGGTTTAAACAACCCAAAAAAGCGTTGTGGTGGATCGCTGCAGCCTGTCCAGAGGTATTAGCTCAGCTGCTGGTGGTTTAGATGGCTTCGTGGGTCCTGTTTGTGTCGCAAAGTTTGCCCTAATGAAGGGCACTCCGCTACCGAACTCTGCAAGAGGGGAGGGTTGGGGTCCGGGTAAGATGCTTTGAGAAGCTGCTGGATAGAAATATGAAATGAGTGTTGGTTTAGTTTCTGGCACGGCAGGTTTTCTCCATGTGTTTGTAACAAGCAGAGAAGCTGAAATACTGTGTGTTACCATTATGTTGGCCTGGACTTGATTTGGGTGTGCTGCGAAATCTGAGAAAACCAGCTTCAGCTTCGAGCTCAGATTTACTTGTGCCTGTGCACATGTGTACGTGTCTTCCCCTGGTGTTTTCTTTCGGAGGGAGCTGTTCCAGAAGTCGGGTCCTAGTTAGGCCCTGTCAGGAGCTCTGGCGTGTCTGGTGTTTGCGCTGCTGTTCAGGGGAGCGCACAAAGCCGATGGTCTGAGTTGGGCCCTAACTGTGAACAGTTTGGGAGCATCTGCTCTGAGAGTCTGAGGTGATATTCCTGGACACCCTGGGGGCGAGGGAAGCTGCTGTGCCTCCTGCAGGTTGGTTTCACGTGGTTTTGAGGCAGTTGTAAACCCGCTGCGAAGGGCGAGTGTCTGCTCTGCGGTAGCTGAAGCTGTGATGGAATTCCTCTTTGAGTCACAGCAGTACATGTACCCTCACCTTCAAGGTGCTGTCTGTAGGGGTAAATCCTTATCCTTTAATACTCTGACATCATTTGGTGTGAGGCAGTGTGGTACTTGGCGTTAAGCTTCGCCCTCGAGGGCGAGCAGTTCTTGTTGCTCTTCTGTTGCTACCGGGTGCCTGGCCATGAAAGGGTGCTGGGGAGTTACAGCCAGCACGTGCCTTATAGGTGGCCTAGGGATGAAAATCCTCTAGTGAGGGTAGGAACGGTTATTCCAGCACTGGCTCCTGCGGAGAGGAGGATACTGCCTAGGCCATGGTTTGTCCAAACACCTGGGTTACTGAAGACGTGCTCCTTTTCTGGTGCTGCGTGGTGTCTATTGCATGTTTACTTTGTGCAGAGAGGGTTCTCGTACTAGATGATTTGGTGACAGACATCTAGGCTTTTATAGTCAGCCGCCTTAGCCCGCTTCGGGAACCTGAAGTGACTCTAATTTGAAATGGTTTTTAATCTTTTCTCTTTTCTGAGAGGGTGCTTACCAAAAAAAAAAAAAAAAATAACCCCCCAAACAAACTGTAATATATCCGTGGGCCCTTCGGGATGGCCTGTTTTTCCCAAGTGCTTTGGTGGATGCTTTAATGTGGCAATGATGCCAAAAGCAGCAGTCCCACCTCCTCCCTCGTCCTGACACACTTGTTCCCACAACTGTGGGATGCAGCTCGAGGTGCTGGTTTGACTGGGGAGTGACCACTGCTGTAGCCAGCAGTCAGGGTGGCAGGATAGCTTCTCTTGGAGGCGATGCCGGCTTCAAATTTTGCTTAAACTACGATCTTAGCTGCACTTTGACCAGCTGAAGCAACCCAGTGTGGTTGGGCAAAGATGAGGCAGATGAAGGGGTCTAGCGGCCAGGAGCTTAGTGGTTTAAAAATGCTTATAATCTCATAAATAAAAATTGTCAGGGAGAGTTTCTGTCCTGGTGTAGTTGGCCTGCACTCCCGTGGAACGTGCTAAGCTGGATAAATGGCTGCACGCTGATGAGCTACATGCTTAAGGGGCTTGGGAAGGCACATGGGCAGCAAGCAGAGGATGAGGCTCACCTGGCCTTCTGTGGCCTCACGCGCGTGTTGTCCCTGCTGGCCTGCAGCCGAGAGGAGGAGGCATCACCCCTGTGTGGTAGGTGAGGCTTAGTTCATGCCTCCTGCTTCGCTTTTACCTGGGAACTTCCAGCTTGGTATGCTCTTTTGCTGCATCAGTGAAGCTCCCTTGTTGAAGGACCTTCAAAAGATGTATTTATTTTTTTATTTCCAAAATGCATGCTTTGAACTGTTCTCTTAGCTGGTGTTTCTGGCCCTTGCGGAGCAAGGTATCATGGGTGAATTATCCGAGAAGACAAAAGTGCTGAATATTACTTATTTGAATATCCTACTCCTACGTATGCCTTGGTCTTGGAGTTGGTTTTAATATGCCTACATTAAAAGTTCTAGGCGGGGAAACAGGTAGTTGGTAGTACGGTATCTTTCTGCTGCTGTAAGCCGTGTTTCTTGTTTGTGACTGGGGATCAATGCGGGTGTGACAGCAAAAGAACAACTATATTTTAAAAATATAAGATCCAAGTGTGACAGTAGTCCTACCAGCCAAACAACCTTGACCAGAATAGTTTATAGTGGTGAAGGAGCTGAATTAATTGCATGGGCAAGCACAGTTTGATGATACCAGTGGCCTGGGATGGCAAGAGAAGCTTGCAATCTGGTGTGCCGGGGTAATTACACCAACTGCACCTTTCGGTGTGTCAACCTGGCCTTAAAACCGGACTGGCTTCCCTCAGGATGTAGAGGAAGTCGTGAGTGTTTTGTGTTATTTTCATTTAGCAAGCAACACTGTTACCTTCCTCTGGTTCAACAAAAATCTGATCTATCTATGCTTTCTGAATGGATTTCTCGGTATTGGTGAAAGATCCAGGTGTTGCGGAGAAACTCGCCTCCACTTTGGATGTAGTCACGCTCCCACAAAAATTCCCTGCCGGTTCGCGCATCCCTGCGTAGTATAACGACACAGATTAGGTGGGTCGCGCTGCTCTAACTGTGCTTGCTTCTTAGTTGGGGCTCTACATCCACAACTCCCAAGATTATGAAGGCCTGGGTGAGTTGGTCTGGATGCAGGGGTGTCGTTGGGAGGATGCCTTGCATCCGGCTGAAACAATTAGGCTGTGGAAGAAGCTGTGTCGTGGCGAGCTCTGGGAGGCTGACACAGGTAGAGGAAGGCAGCCTGCGGACGGCACTACATGAGCGGCAAGAGTGTGAGCGACGGCGGGTTAAGGGATATCCACGTTCCTCACCCAGAGGTTCAACTGGGCCTCCCCGCACCGTGAGTAGCGAAGGACGGGACTGGTCAGGCACCGCCGAGTAGTTTTCTACTAAGCCTGTGTAAATGTTTGCGCTCCTCAGCTCTGTAAGGAGGCAATACTTCGGGGACTGGTTTGAGGTGCTGGCTTTATAAGCTGTAGATGCATGTTTTGCAGGCCCTTAATCGAGGAGCTGAAATGCTCTATTGTGTCCTGCGGCCTGAGTGACAATCCAGCCCTGGCACTAACAATGTGATGGTCCCTCTCTGAGACTTGGAAGTCTTCCGCTGACTGTCGCTGGGTGGTCGCACCCAGCCCGTGTCACACCAAGCTGTTCAGCTCCCTGCGAGGAGGCCAAGGGCACGCTGGCACCTGGAGCTGGAGCCTGGACTTCTTAAAGGCAGGAGCGGCGACATGAGCAGCTCTGGCTATGGACTAACAGCTCTGGAGGAAAAGAAGTTGAGTCGGTCTGGTGGTGCGATGCCCAGATACTCTGCCGGGTTGAGGCTGTCTAGCAGTTTCCTCGCAGAGTACCTAGTCCGCCTTGCGCCGCTTCAGTGCTCACCAGGATCTCCACGAGATGATGTGAGAGTCCGAGGAGAAACTGTCGCATGTTTGTAACTTAATTTTTTGGTGAGGTTAGATCTGTGTTGGGTCATCGGCTGGGAAGGAGTCTCCTGGTGGTGCTCGGAAGCTGTTCAGCCAATTGGCCAGTAGATCTCTGGAAACCGCTGTCAGAGGAGCTGTTTGACCCAACGCTTTTCTAAAGATGTGCTTGGCGTGCTCGAGACGAGATGTGCCCGCCTCGCTGTCGCAGCGTTGAGTGCGTGCGTGGTGCTCCGCTGAGGAAGGATTTCTCTCACTCTGGTGGGAAGTAATTTACTCTCTTGCTGCACACAAAGCTGCTATACCTGTCCAGATCTGTGGGAACGTGTGGAGCTGCCGAAGGGTTCCTCAGCGGGACACAGGGCTGGTGCCTGCCTGTCCTTCTGCCGGGGAGTCACTGAGCATTCCTGGGTGCTGGAAGTGTGGGGAAATCTCGCCTTCTGTCTGCTCCAGGGCTAATTCTGCCAGGCCTTTGCTGTGAACTAAGACCAGCAAGACTCCGTGAAAGACGAGTTGGGATGAGCACATCCCTGAAGTGGTGCCGTACGCTTTCGGTGACAACAATCCGGGTGAGGAGCGAAGGGCAGCAGCGGTGGAGCACTTCAGAATAGCTCGGAGGGAGCATAGCGGGAGGGTGATGAGAAATGAGAAATCCTGCCTGTTGTGGTCTCTCTGCTGCTGTCAAGTCAGCAGTCTGTATCTCAGGGTGTGGTTCCGAGTTAGGATTGCCGGTGTGGCAGAGCTGGTTTAGGAGGTTCTCTCCCTCCCTCTGTTAGCGCCTCAGGAGCTGATGCCCCTGAGCTGAATGCTGCTTCAGGGGATGGTGGATCATTCCCATGGTGAAAGTTGGCAGGGGGGGAGCATCTAATCCGAATCGTTGTCCATGCTGGGCTAGCGAGCTATAGCTGCCCCACCAGCAAACCTGACGGGACTGGAGAGGTGGCAGCTGGAAATGGGGAGGCAGGGTGGGGTAAGAACCTCTTAAACTGGCTCTGCTGCTGGAGAGAGCCTGCGGTGGAGCTGCACCCTTCCTCGGGGCAGTGGGCGCTCACTGGGGCTCGGGCAGAGCTCCTGCTGGAGGTTTTGCGGTGCCTGGGCCCTGAGTGACCATCCCTGGCTGGGTGCAGTGGCACCCTTGTTTTGTTTGTTGGAGGTTTGTTGTGATACCCATGAAGGGGAACAGGCCTGTGGAGGAGGAGACCCACCCACTGATGAGTGCTATGGGTGCTCGAGCATGTGGAAGGTGAGGGGGGAGCTGGAGTGTGAAATGCCATCTCTCCCATCGCTTGGGGCAGTCCTTGTCCTGCCT